ATTTAAAACCATCCTTTTTTAATCCAACAATTGCATATGTGAGAAAGCCAACCATCAAGATTTAAATATGACCTATAATTGAGCTACGTTTGTATGGATTAATTTAATAAGTTATTAAATGTATATTTATGGACAATAAATAACTGCTATAAGAAATGAATTATCCATCCAAATATTTCGTCGTTGTGGCTGTTGCTGTGGCGCGCTTCCATGGCCACTACCTTCCTCAGCTCCTGCCCGTTCTTGCGCCACCACTCTCATTTTCGCAAGTCCTCCTCCTTTTGCTGCTCCAACGATGCCGAGGCTTCATCGACGTCGTCACTAACGAAATCAACTAGTTGCTCTTACACCCGTCGATGGTACAAACCCTCCATCCGAACGCAATTGAACGAAGGTGTTGAAATTGTGCGCCATTGGATTGAGGCGGATCAACCTTCCGCTTCTGAAGGTACATCTATTCAAGTGTCGAAACTCCTTAAACGCGATGCTATTTGGTATTTCGCAATTATTTGCAGGGCGGGATTGATAATCGAGTAGCACTGATTGATTTAGTACTATATACTCTGAATGTTTCTTTCTTGGATTGAATTTCTAGTTTCCTCAATGAGGATGGATCACTAACTCTTTGTTCATATGATCATATGAGTACGATCTTACTGGCGTTCTCGCATACTCTTCCCGCGTTTCAATGAACTCATTACCTTTATTCTTCCTCCAGTGATTGTATAAGTTGTGTTAGTGAAGTAACAACCAAGCATCATCACCGTTATGCTAATAGCTGGTATTAACATAAAAATTATTGAAAACAAAAATCTTGGATTTTAGGATGTCACATGCTATAGAATTAGCATATCTTACTACTCAAACGATATTGGCCAGAATTCTCAGGTTTTCATTCAAAGAGAGTTAGGTTTAGACGAAGAACATTTATTTTTCAAATTCATAAGAAAAGCGGTAGCCTGTCAAATATGGAGGTTCCGGGTATCTAATCTGATCGGCTAGAATCTCCTTTTGTTTTGCGCAATTCATCTTATATTCCTATATGATCCTTCTTCTTGATAAAATTACGTTGTTTAGTAAAAAAAAATAAGCACATTATTTATGTGATTAGAGTAATATCAGAAGAAAAGGTAGTCTAGAAGTAGAAACAAAAAGATTTAGAAGGATCAAGGAGAGAGGTTCAGAGGGATTGGACTATAGTAACATTAAAAAAGTATAGTGGTCAGCCTTTGTCAATTATACAACATAGATTCTAGAAATTCAATATGGTAATTGATGAATAAAATATGGTAGAACCACAAGAAGGCTATAGCATTTCATGGAATTGGCACCTGGCTGACTTGCTTTAGTTGTGGTCAAATGTATTCGGGAATGCTATTTTTTATGAAAGGAGATCTGTATTTCAAATCTAGCATGTCAATAATTTCTTTTATGCAATTTGATGTTCCAGAAAAATTTAGTGTAGTGTCATACAACATATTGGCGGAAAGAAATGCATGGAAACACAGAGGTTTATACACCAACGTTCCTTTACCGTATTTGAAATGGAACCACCGTAAGAGAGTTATATGCGAGGAACTTCTTATGTGGAACCCCGATATAATATGCTTGCAGGTGAGCTTGTTCTTCTCTCTGTCTCTCTCTCCTCTCCATCTCCGTGTCTCTGCACGCTCCTACAGATTACCGTAATGAAAGCTGAAAATTGTACTTGTTTTTCAAATGCTGTTAGGAAGTGGATAAGTTTTTTGATGTTTCAGAAATCATGGATAAAGCAGGCTATGTTGGATCATACACGGTTAGTGTTCATGTTCAGAATCTGATGCGTTCCATCCACTAGAATGATTAGGTGAAAGTAATGTGTTACCCACATGATTAACGATTGTACCTTGCTCCATATTTTGACTTGGGACTTACAAACTCCACTTGTACTTCATGTACTTTTTCTGCTTATTGTATATGGTGCTAAAGAATAATTTGAAATGGCAGAGACGCACTGGAGATGCTATTGATGGATGTGCTATATTCTGGAAAGCTCACAAGTGAGGAAGCTATGGCTTTTATGATATATATAGTATGAAACATCTCAAGTATATTACTTTATAGGCTTATGTAAATGATATAACATCCATTATTCACTTGGTAAGGTTTCGACTGATAGATGAAGAGAGCATCGAATTCAAGAGGTTCAATCTTCGTGACAATGTTGCTCAACTTTCTGTGCTAGAGGTAGAAATTTCTTATCATCTGGCCGTATGCTTGAGCTGTCGTCATTTGTAATTTGTGGAGTATCAATCTGTCGTGAAATATTATTTATCGAAGAAGATTCATTCAATTTCATATAGTATTGTATATACCGCTCTAAATTTTCTCAGAAAGCTCAACTTGAGGTAGCATGTATTCCAGTTTTCTTATGATATTCACCTGAAATTGCAGATTTAAATTTCTTTTAGATCAACTTCCAAACATAACTTTTCTATATGCAGGCAGATGTCCAAAGTTAAATCAAGAAAATTAATGATTGGTAACATCCACGTGCTTTACAACCCAAGCAGGGGGGATGTCAAATTAGGTCAAGTAAGTCTCAAGCAAAATAAGAACAATATCGATACTCCTTGATTGTGAATCTTCATTCTAGACATATTAAATGCTTGCATTCAAGCTAAGGTCATTCGCTCTAGTGATTCCACACATTCCTTTTGTGATTTCAAATTGTATTTAGTTTCTTTATTTCCAAACACTGAAGGGGAATAAAAACCATCATATGGAACTGGGAATATGAAGATCAAACCTCAATGTGGCGATGAAATACTGTTCTAAAAGTTTTAAATTTTATTTATGCCTTTCTTAGATTAAAATAATTTCCTTCAAGACTTGATATTCAAGCAGGAACTTGGGAGCTATTTTCTGTTAGAATCTAGTTAGTTCTTCTTTTTTTTTTTTTCTTTTTTTTTTCTTTTTTGGGTAACGATTTCCTATGTGTTGGCATAAAGCAGAGAGAAGTTGCCGTATTAGTGGAGGCTATGAAAAGGAATTTTACTCGACAGTTTTGCTTGTTATGTCAATAGTGAATCACATCAAGTTTTTAGCTGTTCTTTGACAATGATAGATAGCAAATGAAAGATTTTCTTATTTTTCTTGTTTTGAGACTAAATTGCAGATTCGTTATCTGTTGTCGAGGGCAGAGATTCTTTCAGAGAAATGGAGCAATCTTCCTTTTGTTCTTGCTGGCGATTTCAATAGTACTCCAGAGGTTTCATACCAAAATTTTATTTATATTTAGGTATCATTTGATTTCTCAAATTTTTACTTTTAACACGAAGGTCTAACCCCTTACTGCTTGTTGACAGAGTGCAATATACAAGTTCTTATCATCATCCGAGGTGCACCTTTTAGTCCGTGATTGCTTAAATATAGTCTTTCATGCGCTAGAATAATGTATTACTTCTAGTAATTATATGTTTAGTGTGGGATCTAGTAGTTTGATTTAGCATGTCATTAACAGCTAAACTTCATGTCCTATGACCGAAGAGAGTTATCCGGGCAATCAGGATGTCATCCTGCTGAAGTTCTGGGTGTAAAAAAGGAATCATGGAGACCTTTTTTCTGCTTGGGAAGGTACAAAATATTCAGGATAATATATTGGATTTGATGGCTTCATTCTCACATTTTTAATTATTTTCTCGTATACAGCTGATGGCATAAAAGATTATGTCTAGACTAATGTTTTGTTAGTTTCACTCAACTCTATTTAGTTAACTAACATGTATAGCTTCCTTTTTAGTCAAACAAAAGGTTTCTGGACTGAAGAAGAGGTGAAAGTTGCTGCTGGAAGTGCCGACTCCCAAGTGGTGGGGAATCCCTTTAGGCTTACCAGCTCCTATGCTACACTGAAGGTATGGTTTATCTGAACCTCCAGAGTTGTTAGATACAATATTTTATTGGCTATTAGTTAGTTGTTTTAATTCGGTTTCCTTGCCTCAAAGCCTGAAATTAGGATCTCCTTTTTAAACAAAACATTATATATCATCCAGGGTCCTACTACAACACGAGGAGCCACTGGAGAACCATTAGCTACTTCCTACCACTCCAAGTTTCTTGGAACTGTGGATTATATTTGGTAAGCTGCTGTGCTTAGTAGATGAAAAGATTTTAGTGGTAGTTTTAACTTGTAATTTGCTGCTGTTGTTCATGTGATAATCCTTACTGCCTTTCATGTAGGTACTCTGATGGTCTTATTCCTACACGGGTTGTTGATACCGTTCCCATTGATATTCTTCTGAGAACAGGCGGCCTTCCATGCGAGGTAGTTGAAAGTGTGTTCTCCATTCATTATTCCGCTAACATACTGGAAATACCTTATTGTAATTTAATCTAATTATTTTGAAAACAAAATTTATAAACATCGTAGTCTTAACATAATTTGATCCTCCTTTTACAGAAGGTGGGCAGCGATCATTTACCCTTGGTTTCTGAAATTGCCTTTACAAAGACATCAGATGAAAGCAATACCAATAGCCAATAACTACATGTAAGTGAGGGTCCAGACTTCAAAATAGGTATCAAAGTAAGTGCAAAGAATTGGTGGACTGCCTTAATACATACATATGAACTCTGCTCATTTGTATTTAGATAGAGAATTGGAAATAATACAATACATGCAGGTATTCTTTGTAAACTATAGGTGAAGCAGATATAGATCATTATATTCAACAGCTCCAGTTCGAGACTTAGATTATGTTGTATTTATATTCTGCCCATCTGTTATCTTAGTCTTTTGAATCTGTATTTAAAAATTTGTTCGAACACGACTCTCCATAATGGTATGATATTGTCAACTCTGAGCACAAACTCTCATGACTAGCTTTGAGCTTCTCCAAAAGGTCTCATCCCAATGGAGAAAGTATTCCTTTTGATTATAACCCATGATCATTCCCTAAATTAGTCGATGTGCGACTTTCATCATCCAACAAAATTGACTGATTCATGCTGAGAAAGTTCGAGTTTCATCCCAACAATACAGATAGGTGAGGTACTTCATGACATTCATACCAACTGTATTAAACTACGTTTTGCAGTTGCATAAACTTTAAATTTAGAATTTTGTTTAATATTGCTTTTTTCAAACATGGCATCAACAATTATTAAATTTTATTTAACAAAATGTTAAATTGTTACAAATAAAGTTTACTATCAGCTATTTTGTATAAACTATTTTTACAATAGATACATTTTAAATTTGAATGTCTGTGATAATAAAACAAAGAAATTTATTTGTAAAAGTAATGTTTATAAGTTTAATTTTTTTTTAAAAAAAAATTGTTATTAATGAAAGCTTAAATAGTTTTAAAGTTAAGTTTTGATTATTTAGATAGTAATTTCTTTTCTTAAAAAAAAAAAAAGAAATTCAATTCAATAAACCAGTATCATGTTGTCAAAATATGCATAGCTTAATAAATATAAATAAATCTGTATTGGGACTCAAAAAAATATAAATAAATAAATAAACCCTAAAACCAGTAATAGTATCAGACCGAATCGGGTTTCCGGATCATATCCATATCCATATCCATATTTTACCAGTTTGTTGTCCACAGGACACTTCCAAAGGATCTCAATTTGAGAAGGAAAGGGAGCCGTGAAATTTGGAAAATGATGGGCAGTTCCCGTTCATGGGCTTATATGCGGATCATCGCCGGTACCATTGTCGGCGGTGTTCTTGGCTTCTATGTAATGCACCGCGTTGAAGTTGGCTATAAGGTGAGCTCGCGGCCATGATTGTGGATTTCTTTTAGTTTCTTTTCGTTTTTGTTCTGATTTGTTTTGGGGGCTGATGCAGGAGAAGATGAAAGAAAGATTAAGACAATACGAAATCGAACTAAAGAAGAAAGAACAAATGAAAGAGCTTGAAGACTCGTCATAGTGTGAGTGTCGTACATTTTTCTCATCTGTCCCGCTGGTTGGATTCCCTGATTATAGAGTTAAAATTGAAGTTCGGAGGCTGTTTGCATCGGCTTTAGAAATTGACCTCATAAGAACACTCCGTCTGTTACTTGTTGCGTAAAACATTCCATTTAAGCGTTCCCTAAACCATATAAACTAGGTCACCGGAGTATAGAATGGATCTGGCAATAAAATAATGTAGCCTGAAAGGGAAAGAATTGGTTTGAATTATGTTTCTCATTTCTAAATTTTTCATTGACTAAACGCCCTGTGTTTTTGTTGTGTGATTGGTTTATGATTGATTTCTTTGAACTTCCAATGTAAATCTAAGCTGATTAGTGTCAAGCGGAGTTTTGGAAGAAACACCATGTTCATGTATATGATAGGCTTTAATCTTGTTTCATGAACTTTATTTCTTTAGATGCTTTAGCTATAACGATGAAAGGATAGTATATCTGGATAAAGGAAAAGGTTTGTTTGACAGTTGATAATTCATGAAATTCTTTATAACTCTGTGTGTATGATTTATGCTTGATTGTTGTCTAGCTTAGTGTGTTTGGTTTATGGGTTCTTCTCTGCTGCTTTGGTTGCCAAGGCAAAATTAATGTGGTTCCTATGGTCCTTATTTGTTCTTCATCATCTGAATCATGATTAAGATTGTTCTTCTTATTTAATTTTTGTATGAGAAGCAGATATCTAGACTTCATAACAGATCTACTTTCATCTCCTGTTTTAAGTGGCTTAGCCGCATCAGTAGATTTATTAAAATACATATTACCTAGATGTTCATGGCCTATAAGATGTAAACACAAAAGTAAAAAAAACTCAGAATTTTACTAAAAAACAAACACAAATCTAGATGTTCATGGGCTAAATTTTAACTTAAAATATATTTGAGCTCAAGTATGAAGTTATGGACCTGTCACTATCAAAACTTAATAAACTTATTTTTTTTTTTTTTTTTTTTTTTTTTT